TGCCAGAACAGGTCCATGACATAATAAAAGTTAAGAACCTTTGCTGTGATTGATGAAGTCCTCCACATAATTCTGTTTGTGGATTGCCTTGTACTGATTGCAAAAATATAAAACAGCCAAATTCATACAACAAAAATAGACAATTTAAATAGTGATTTCAGAGGAAGAATTACGTTATCATAAATGAATTACACCACAAAAATTATCTGGTCAAGATAGATTTATAGGTTAATTTTTCAAAACTTCAAAGAACAAATGGCAATTCCAATACGTCATAGACTATTTTTTAAAATGGAGAAATGTGAAATGCGCCTAATTTCTTCTATGAGGTAATTATGATTTTGAAACTTGACAAAGATGACACTAAATAGTTATGGTACAATTTTATGAATTAATATAAATGCAAAAATACTAAACACTATAAATAGTTTAGCAAATAAAATTTGGCAATTCATCAAAACAATCATTACAATAAAAATAACTTATAGCAAGAAAACAAATACGTTAAATATTAGGAATAAAATAAATGCTCACAAAAATATAAGAACACAAAAAAACTGAAATATAAAAAACATCAAGAAGAGCTAGCAATTGGTTTGTGAGAGGAAGAGAAAGAAAAAGAGACAAAGAAACAGAGAGACAGAGTCTCTGAGGTTTTATTGTTTTTTGTTTTTTTTTTAGTGCACAAAAGTGAAAAGGAAGGCTAGAAGGAAACACAGACAAGCAGGGCAGCTTTGAAAGTTATGTTGAATTTGTAAATATATAAAAAGAAAAAGTTGTATGTCATAAAGTTTCATGGTTTCATGAGAAATTCTCTTTTATTCCATTTTGTATATGGCATTTTTTTAGGTGCTTATTAAGTTCAGAATGACTTTTTAAAATATTAATAGCACATATTACCCAATGAACAAATTACTAAAGAGAGTAATATTATTTGATGCTTTTTAAAAATAAATGAGCAATTATTAAACAGAAATACCAACTCATATCCAAATAGAGGAGTTTGTCTTTACTGCAGAAAAGAGTATCTATCTTTGACTAGCAGTCAACATTATAAGCAATGGAAAAACATTAAAAGCACTTTCATTGGTAGAAAACATAAAACAAAATAATATAAATACTATTTGCTTTTTTTTTGCCTGTGCTTTCTTTCACAACATGATTAATACCGAAACATGTTTTACATGATTGTACATGTATAACCTATATCAAATTGCTTACCATCTCAGTGAGGGGGAAGGGGAAGGAGAGAATTTGGAACTCAAATGAATGTTAAAAACTGTTTTTACTGTAATTGGTATAAAATAAATTATTATTTAAATATAAAATTTCAAGCATCCTGTCATAAAATACAGGCTGAAAACAAGGGAACGAACATTTATGATTTACTTAAGGATTACATAGAGATGGCTTTAACAGTTGGACAACCCCTTCCTGGGCTCAGGAGCATAAAACTTTAGAGGAAAAGGGGTAGAGAATAAAGGTATTACTCCTTGACCTCAATGTCACAGAAAAAACAATTCTAGAACTCTTAAGTCAAGCTGGCTTCTAAATGGTTGTTTGGATACCTGTGATATAAGGAAGTTGAAGCCCTGTCACAGTGAGTCATAGGCAAAATGTGGCTGAACCCTAGTACAGAATTGGTTCAGAGGAGGATTCCAAAATGCCCACTCCCCACATCTTGCCCATTCCCAAACTCCTACTCTTTGTTTCTATCATTGGAATCTCTTCTACTGTCTCCAAACTAAATTCTACCCATCCTTCTGGAAGGGCTGCTTTAGTGATGCCTTCCCTACCAAAGACCTCTCCTTTCTTTGTTCTTATTGTATTTCTAGTCAGTGCCATGTAGTTTATTTTCTATGTATTTTGTTCCAAACAATGTTCCACTTAAGCAGACCCAGTCTTTTGCTCTCTCTCCTCATTCCTTGAACTATTTATACTATCCTTAAAGTTAGCAACCATGTCTTCTGTTTTTCCTATAGCTTTGTCTATCAAAGAAGAATAAGTATGAGCCTAAGAACACGCTAGATACTTCGTAAATACTTACTGGTTGAGTAATAGGGATACACATTTTTTGCTCTGGCAGCAGCCATCAGTTTTGCCCTTTCCTCCAAAGTGTTTGATACTTTCTTAAAGCTTCTCTGTGCCTCAGGGTAACTTGCAAACCTGGGCCCTTTTGGAAGACCAAGAGGAAGAGGATGACTAGGATTGGAAAGATGAAAGGGGATGCCTGTGTTTATTTTCAATCTCAAAAAGACTCAGTATGAGGGTTACACTGTATGTAGCCTGAGGTAGAGAAAAAGTAATGTTCAAATTCTGGTGTTTGTAGGGGAAATTCTAGGTAAAGGGCATAGGCCTTTATTACTGAAAAGCCTCCAAGATGTGAACTTGGGTCCATGTGAGTTCAGAGCCAAGTTAGGCCATTGTTTATAGTTGATTGCCAGATACAAGACTATATTTTTATGGGTGTAGGATAAGCCATTTATAACAAATGCCCTATTCTGATATAGTCTGTCTGTGATCACACCTGAAAAAAAAATTGAGCTGCTGGTAGTCCTGAGTTTGGAGGGTGGAGGTTTGGCTTTAAAAATAGGCATTCTGACCTTTTTTTAGGTCATGGGCCCCTTTGGTAGTCTGGTGAAGCCTATGGACTCCTCCGAATTATGTTTTTAAATACATAAAATAGATAGGACTACTAAGGAAATCAATTATGTTGAAATAGTTATCAAATTAAAAAAAAATTAAGCTCACAGACCCTAGGTCAAGAAGCTCTATTCCAAAAGGACAAATGGAACAGGCAGAATGAGATAGTGCAGTGATTCCCAACTTTTTTTTGTTGTTCTGTGAACCCCTTTCAACAGCAACAAAAAAATGTAATGTAAATCCCCAGGGTAATTTAATATACTTACAATATTCCATAATTATTTACTTCCATAATTATTTACTGCTTAAAGGCACCATTAAATAATTTTTAGCGCAGACTCCTTGGATCATTTAAAAAATGCCCACGGGGCTCAGGATCCACTAAATGAGAACCACTGGTGTAGTAAATTGCACATTGAAATGAGAAGCAGGAGACCTGGGATCTGGTTATGGATATGCCACCTAGCTGGGTGAACACGGATAAGAAACTTCTCCCCTGAAATTCTTTTGAGTGAGTAAGGAGTCACATGATTGAACTGGAAAGGAAGGACTGTGCATTGGCCTCCCACACCCCGACCTCTTTCAGGTCCCTTCCAACTAAGTATACACTACAGCCACCCTTCAAAGTTTTTCACACCAACCATATCAGAAGCCCTCAGCTGGGGTTCTTCCCCTCAGCCCTCAGTTATCTCCATATTCAGGTTGCTCTTAAGTTTTTAGGCACCTCAAGCAGCTTACTCCAGGGATTCCAATCCCTACAGTTTGGAAGGGCAAGTCCAGGTCTCTGACAATTACTTCTGCTATCATCCAGAAATGTCTAATGAGGCCTTTTAGGAGGTCAACCATTCTTACCTACTTTGCTTTTGGCTCTTCTCTTCATCCTGTTCATGAGCCCTTCTAGGTCAGCTGCTCTACTCCAGGCATCCCCCAGGTGGCCCCTCCCCTTGTCCGCCGGTCCATCCAGAGGTCACCTAGTAATCTATCTATATATCTATATCCCTTTCCAAAGCAGCCCCCCCTCTCCAGCGGTGAAGTTCCGATTCAACTCTGCAAGCACCAGGCTGGGCAATGAGAGGGGCACGCACGCATTTCCAGCACGCCCATTCCCGCCTTAGCTGTCCTGTATCTCCTAGGTCCATCCCGCATAAGCACAAGGATAGCAAGAAATCCCCACTCACTTCTCGAGACCTCTTCCTCGCTCCTGCCCAGGACAGGAGAGGATCACACAGACATACATATCCTCCAATTCCTTTCTTAGCCAACCCTGTACCCCAACCGCTTCGTTGTTCTCCACTCCTGCAAGACGCGCAAGGACTGGGGAGGAGGAAAAGGGGGGGAGGGGGGAGAAATACCTCTTACCCCTCCCCCTCCACAAAAGCCAAGCCCGAAACTATTTCTTTAAGGGTTGAGGCGGAGGGGAGGAAAGCGGGAGGAGCAAGGGGCGGGGACGGGATGGGGAGGGAGGAAACAGCTGGCGGGGTTGCCACCGCCCCTGGAACTGAGCGCGCTGAGGTCAGGGTGCTCTGCTGGCGTCACAAAGGGCCCAAGTGGCCGGCGAGAGAGGAGCTGGTGACTGGAAGAGGAGGAGGAGGAGGAGACGGCGGGGGGAGGAGGGGGAGGAGGAGGAGAAGGAGGGAGGGGGCGCGCGCGCGCCCCGCCGCTGAGGAGAGCCCCCCCCACCTTACCACCACCAGCACCATCAACACCACCGCCGACGCGCGCGCGCGCGCGCGGCCGCCCTCCCTTCTTTCTCCTGCGGCGCGCGAGACCCTCTCTTTCCCCGCCCCTCCCCCCGGCAGAGCCGCCGCCGCGAGACCCTCGCGCGTGCCCTCGTTGCCGTCCCCTCCCCCTTCTCGGGTGCTTTGCGCCCTCCCCCGGCCCCTGAGCAGAGGGAGCGGAGACAGAAAAAGAAAGAGACAGAGAAGAGAAAGAGAGAAGAGAAAGAGAGCTAGCGCGCGCGCGTGAGAGAGAGAGAGAGAGAGAGATAAGAGCGCGGCGGTGCTGGGCCCTGTCTCCCCCCTACTCCCCCCTCCCTCTGCCTTCCTCTTCCTCTTCCTCCTCTTCCTCCTCCTCGTTCTCCACCTCCTCCCGCAGAGGCCCCCCTCGGGGGGGGAGGCCCCGGAAAGGGAGCGATTCCTCCCCCACCTCCCCCCCCAACCCCCCCAGCACAACACTCCCTCACACACACAACTCACCCACACCCACACCTGTGAGGAGGCCTCTCCCGTCCCCTCCCCCGCCCCGCCGCAGTCCTGAGGAGCCGCCGCGGCCGGTGGGGAGGAGAGCGAGGCCTGTGTGGGAGCCGGGGCCTCGGGGACTGGAGAGGGGCCCGGCGGCCCGGCCCTAGCCCTCGCCGCCGCCGCCGCCGCCGCCTCCGCCGCCGCCGCCGCTGCCATGGCCCAGCAGCAGATGACCAGCTCGCAGAAAGCCCTGATGCTGGAGCTCAAATCCCTGCAGGAGGAGCCGGTGGAGGGCTTCCGGATCACCCTGGTGGACGAGTCCGACCTCTACAACTGGGAGGTGGCCATCTTCGGGCCCCCCAACACGCTCTACGAGGGCGGCTACTTCAAGGTACGGCTATCCCTCGCTCCCCCGGGGTCGCCCCGCGTGTGAGTGAGTGTGTGCGTGTACGTGTGTGTGTGTGTGTGTGTGTACACGTACACCCCTTCCTTCCGCCCCCCCCTCCCCGCCGGTCGGCCCCGGGGTGTGCGGGAGGCCCAGCTGCTTGTGGCCCCGGCCCGCCTCGCCAGCGCCTCCGGGCCGAGCCCGCGATCCCGGGAGGCGGGGAAGGAAGAAGGCCTCGCTCACTCCTCTCCCTTTCTCCTTGGAGGTAGGCGGTCTGGGGAAAGGCTAGTGAGCAGGGGAGGGAAGCCGGACCCTTCTCTGTCTGGCGGTGGGAGAGGGTTTTATTGTGTGTGGTGCATCTTCAGGAGACTCCCCAGGTAACCATTCAGCCCCAATCGAACGAGACCCTCTAACCTGGAGATTGCTTGGAGACCGTGGGTGAGCCCTGTGGAGTTCCTGCACCTTTTGCACCAACACTCCCCCCTCTCCCCGGGGTTGGTGGAGAAAGGTATTGGCCTGTCATCCGATCCTCCGAGACTCTCCCCAGAGGCCTGGCAGGGAGTTTGTTGGGCCTGTTTAGTGCATTTTGAGGAAAGCCATAGGTGTGGGGAAAAAGGGGTAACTGAGTCTTCCATCACAATCTTTTTTGAAAAATCTCATTTTGTCTTCACTATTCCCTATTTAATTGATGGATTAAATAAAAATACTTAGTAATAGTACTTTTAACTTTTGCAAAACCTAGTGTCTTTTGTCCACTCTTTGCCACAAGCCAAAGACTTGCATTTTAATAATACTAAGAATAATGCCAGCATTTATATAGTATTTTAAGGTTTGCAAAGGCACTTGACATATTCTCTATTGAGCCTCACAACAACACTGTGAGTTCTTAAGCAAGTAGAGAAGGCTTCACAGAGTGCTGTTGAGTGTCATAGAAGGAGGAAGAAAGATTCCCATTTTAGGGAGATGAAATCGAGACCTTTTGCTCAGATGACTAGCCGTAGCAAATGGAATGTCTGGATCTTTGAAAAGGGGTGGGATCTGAGGTAGGGGTGGCTGAAATGACCGTGCTAGCTCTTTATTCAAATAAATAGCCATAGGTCTAATTTTCAGTGATGTGGTAGAAGTTAGTTTTAATATGCTGTGTTTACTTACTAGCTTGTTTCAAGAATGCCCCAAGATAAAGTCAGGAACTTTTGAGTTTTTCATTGACTTTGCACGGACAGTTAAAGATAGGATTATTATTGGTTTGGGGGGGACGGAGTGGAGAAGAAGGTCAGTGAAAGAACTGTGAAGCAAGTACCTGAGAATCCATTTTTGTTTTGTTTGATGACATTATCTGTGAGTCATTTTTCAAGTTATTATTTTGAAGGGAGAGGAGATCTTGGCCCAAGTTTCAAATCAGTATCTTAGTCATGCAGGTGTGATGTATATTTTTAGGACTACCCAATTACTTAACCTTTATTTTCCTTCAAGGTAGTAGCCCCAGTTTCAGGCATGTAACTAGGTCAGCTTTGCAGGGATGATTTTGAAGAAGGTGGGATGGAGAGGTTAAAATTTCATATGAAGAATCATTGGTAGTAATAAATAACATTGTCGGAAGTATTGTTAGTAATTTATTACTCCTACGTGCCTTGCGCTTCATTTGTTAGGAATCGCCAAGTTTGTTGACCATGTAGATGTAGATACTTAGAAATATCTAAATATGAATGTATAGCTGACTACCTATTTGTGTCAAAAAGAAAAATGGATGAGGTGTTAACATCTTATGTTGTGGTGGGGTCTACTAGGCCCTAGACAGATTAGTTTTTGAGGACCATCCACTGTTGGTACAGTAACCCTTTTTGTTGCTTTTTGAAGTTAGTGTGAATTTAGGCAGTTTATAGTTTTAAACAAAAGGCAGTTTATAGTTTTAAACAAAACCTGATCAATGCAAACTATATTTGCAGGAGAATTTGCCTCCAAATTTTCTTTGTGATCATTGTGCATCTACTTACTCAACTTATTTCATAGTTCTTTTTAACCCTAGTAGTCAAATGTGGGTTCTAGGACAATATCTTGGGGATATTCATCTGTATTATAACTTTGCTAATCAAACACTTTAAAGGTCTGCAGAATGGCTTAATGGAATAAGAGTAAAATAAAGTTTATCATAGTTTTGTTTATGGTACAGGAAAATTTTAAAGACATCTATATGTGAAAGTTGGTTAGAATTTTCTCATCCTAATGCAGCTTTTGAACTATTCGTGTTTGGCAATAAAACACTAACATTAAAAGAAAGTGGAAAGATTATTAGTGGAGAATTGCCAGTGGAGAATTATGGTTCGGAACATATGGTTGTGTGACCTTGGGCAAGTCATTTAATTTTACTGAGCTTTAGCTTCCTCAAATGGGGATAATAATACTTGATGTCACACGGTTGTTGTGAGGAAAACTTCGCAAACCTCAAAATGCTATATAAATGTAATTATTATTATAAATTATATTATTTGGAAATAGATAACTAAGATAGGATGTTAAAAAGCAGAGGAGTTAGAGTGGGTTCTATGGAGCATAAACTTAGTGAACTGAGTTCTTGATTCTTTGATTTCAATATTTAAAAATAAATTCTGTAACTTTGGGGTGGCCTGTTACTAAAATTGACATTCAAAAAACCATTTTTCTGACTCTCTAAGTCCCAGTTCTGTTGCTTTAAAAGTGAAGGTTAACCTCTCACTTTTCTTGTCTTTCAAAAGAAGAGATTGGACTAGGTGATCTGAGGACCCTTCCAACTCTAACATACAAGTCTTTTCTTTTTGCTTTTGTTTTAAAATTTCTTCTTCATGGTTCTGTCCTTGTCCATATTATTTTCTTTGGAGACTATACTCTCAACGCTTCAACAAGCAGTTAGTTAACAAGCAGTTAGGGAACTAAAACTTCCCTTTAAGAAGATGAGTCCCAAGTCTAAATTCGTACTTAACATGATTCATATCATCAGATGCCTTCAGGACATCTCCATTTGGATATCCCATCTATACCTCAAATGTCTTGTCTAAAATTGAGCTGATTATCGTTTCCTCTAAATTTTCCTCTCTGACTTTACTATTTCTGACTACTATATCACTTTTCCTTAAGTCTCCATGTTTAATACCCTGAGGGGTTGGTTATCTTTGTCTCTACTTGTCCCTTCTTATATTCAGACCAAGTCCTCTTAATTACATCTTGGGCAACATATCTAGAATCATTCTTCCTATTTGCCATGTCTAGAACACATTTAGATGATTGTAATAGTTTCCTCACAGGTCTTCCTGCCTCCACTTTCTTCTCACTGCCAGTCCATCTTTCTTACTGCTCCTAGAATGAATGACCTTATGCAATGGGTTTGGTTTTATATATATATAAAAATATGTATATTTATATATAAATACATGTATTTTTATATATTTATATACAAATACATGTATTTTTATATATTTATATACAAATACATGTATTTATATATATTTATATATAAATACATGTATTTTTATATATTATATATAAATACATGTATTTATATATATTTATATATATCCTTTATATATATAATTGTGTAATATATAATATATAATTGTGTAGTAATATATAATATATAATTGTGTAATATATAGTACATATATATAAAACCAAACCCATTGCATAAGGTCATTCCATCTATCTATCTATCTATCTATCTATCTATATCTCTACTGTTATTCAATAGCTTCGTGTTTGCCTTTTGAGTAAAGTTAAAATTGACTTTTAAGGCTCTCCACAGCCAGATAGCACTCTAATATTTCCCTTTATATTTTTCATGGTGCTGTTTTATAACTGAAATAATTTTATACTTTTCATATAATATTGTGTATTATAGCTCTTTCTCTCTCTTTCTCTTTCTGTCTCTCTATATATCCTTGAGTATAAGCCCATTGAGGGCAGGAGTATATCCACTATAGTGGTGGTGATTATTTCTGGTTTGTTTGTTTTTTTTTTTTTCCTTATCCTGCTAGGCCCATTAGTCCATTTGTTGAAAAGAGACAAATTAATGCTAGGGTTCCAAACAATAAACAATGAATAGTTAGGTTGCAAATACCATTGTTTTCTGCTTCACCTTTCTTGTCTCTTAGTAGGTGTTTAATGCTCTCTATTACGGTTATTATACTTGTGACTCGAGTTTTCCCTGTTATCACATTGCTTGCTCCCTAATCACTTAGAGTGTGCCTCTGTATATTCAAATTAAAATTATTGTCCCTTTAATTGAAGTAATGCTTTCTTAAGGGCAGTGAAACTTCCAGTCATTCTTTTATTTCAGAATTCAGCTTTTTAATATGCTAATTGCTCAGGCCCATTTCTTTATTAAAATATCTAGGATTATAGAATTTAGAGATGGAAAAATGATAGGTTTGCTGTTTTAGAACTGGAGGGGAAACTTAGAGGTCAATTGGTTCTGCTTTCTCATTTTTACATATGAGTAAACTGAAGCCCAGCAGGTAAAGTGACTTTTCCAAGGTTATAGATGTAGTAAGTCCCAGAGCTGGGATTTGAACCCAGCTGGAATCAGCTCTGATTCCAAATATAGTGGTAGTGGGGGGTTTTCCCCCATTGCATCATACTAAGCCTTTTCGTCAGTGATCTATTGTCCTCATATATTTTGATCTTTTCTGTTTGTAGTGATTCTTGGCAGATTGTGTGTATTTGACAACTTGAGACTATTTTTTTCATCCGCCATGGACTCTTTGAGTTGGTGATACTGTCTTCTTTGCTGTTCTACACACAAGATATACTCCATCTCTCTATCTGCTGTGGGCATTTTCTCTGGCTGCTCCTCCATGCCTGTAACTCTTTCCCTTCTCAATTCTGCCTACTGGCTTCTCTGGCTTCTTTTAAGTCCTAACTAGAATCCATCTTTTATAGCAAGTCTTTCTCAACTCTTTTTATTTCTAGTGCCTTCCCTATTATTTCCTAATTTATCCTACATGTGGAGTGTATATATTTGTACATATTGTTTCCTC